AAGAAGCTACTCGTTTGGAGCTTCAGCTAAAAGCATTGAAGAAAGGAAAGTTCATTCTCAATCCATAAGGATATGAGTTATAGATAGTGTTGCAGAAAGCGTCGCCCAGGCGTGCTAGACATCTATCACCAAACTTGGCTCATAGGCACCAGAGAAAGGGTGCAGAGTTTTAGAAGGCATTGCACAAGAAAGGGAAGGCAATCTATTGTGGCACTTAGAAGATTTAGGTGGCGCATAATAGCGATCAATTGTTCCCGTGTGTCACTCAATTCTCCACGGTAATCTAAAATTTAAATTGAACCAGAGGAAATCAAATACTAAAAATCCAAATCATCGCCTGCGATTTTAGCTTCAGAAAGCATTTTGTTGACAAGAGAGAGAGAGGATTTTGTTCCCTTTCGAAGAAAAAAAAAAATCAATTCTGGATCGGGTTTAAATCTCGGGTCCCCAAATTTAATTGATCGGGTTGGGATAAAATGGTACCATTGGGCCCATGTATATATCTACTAAACTACTTTGAGTATAGAGTCCAAAACTTTGTTTTTTTGTTGTCAAGTTCAATTGGGCCAGCCTATTTCGCTTCATGGGATTTTATCCCAAGGGCTGCTTCTAATTTTGAAATGAGTAAAAGCTAACATGTCTATGTTAATATATTTTGAAAGCTGATAGAAAGGAATGTGGAGAAACTACTATTTTAGACATTTATTTAAAAAATTTTAAATTTTTTCTTAATTTTCTGAATTTTTTAAAATTTTAAAAAAATAAAAATAAAAATTGGCACACAAATCGCCAAGGCTCTCAAGGCTCCCAAGGCTCCACCTATGCTCTGGGCGGAGGCATGTTGCCTCACGGCGCCTAGCGCCTTCTACAACACTAGTTATAGTTATAATACTCCAGGAAAACCCACCAGCATTAAGTTGTTGGATTTTTCGTATGGTCGGCTTGGAACTGCCTTAATAGCTGCAGAGACTGATGATAGAGATTGAGATCGATACTATCAACATTTCTACCAACCTGAGCCTGCAAGATAGTCTGAAATATAACGTAACAACATACTGTATTAACGTAAGGAATTTGTGGTGAGATAAAGGTATCAATCAACCTGAATCTTTAAGAGAACAAACCTCGTTGTCAAGGTGAATATGGAGTTCACCAATGAATTGGTAGATGGAACCAACTCGGAAGCTAAGGTCCCTCAAGTGCTGGGTATCTATGCTTAGGGTGGTACCCTCATCAGCAATTACAGCTACGGCAGTCTCTACAGTGTGCTCTTGTAGCCTAGAGCATATAAAAGATATTAAAGTTCTTCATTGACAACTTCCCCCCAACATTCAGCAGCTCAGACCAGCACAAGCACAATTAATACATGGTTGGCTAGGACATTATTACATAAACATTTAATATCATTGACAGGTTTCCAACAATTAGCATCTAAACCATATATACAGCTAAAAATAAAAATTAATATAATGTGAGTAAGAACTAATATACTGTTAACACCTCAAATTGTCACTGCTTTAAGTGGCAATATCCCTGGTTGGATAAGAGCTTTACTTCAAAGTTATCACCATCCAGAAAATTGCAAACATGATCCTTCATTATACTTCTTTTCCCCCTAGCACCCAATTGTAAGGTTACATCCCCTGAACAACAGAAACAAATACAGACCTTTTGGACCAAGAATCATTACAGTGTAGAATCAATCATGAGACATGCACTAATCCAAACCCACTAGGCTCTTCAGAATCTTCAGACACCCATGATGAGTTATCTACTTATCATGGTGCAGGATGGCCCTTAAAGTCTTAAATTTCTGGCATGAGAATTGAGGGGTTTAAGGTTAGGGTTTGACAGAAGCAATATTAGTAGTAGATTGGAAAGCAAGTTGGCAAATAAATGGGGATCTACGTCTGGTTTACTAATTTGAATTGAGTTTTGGAATTTCAAGGATAGACAAAGCCACAAAGGAGATTAATAAAGAAAAGATAGTAATAAGAAATTGAAGGGAAGCCAGGACTAACTACCGTCAACTAATTTTGCATTCTTAAATATTACTCTCCGAAAGATTACCATTTTCACAAGAAGAGGATTACAATTGAGTCAAAAGACTTCAAAAAGAAAATCAGATCCTAACCTTGGAAAACATTACTAATATTAAAAGAAAATAGTTTCTTCATTTTCCCCGTTGGATCAACTCTCATATTGCGACCCACATCCTTCGACAAGCATCACGCTGCCTAATTTATCATCATCATTCAATTTGCACCATAGCACTGTCACCACCTCCAGTTCCAGCATCACAAGCCAACTTTATGATGAGTTCCAGCAAAGCCAATGCCACCACT